TAAACTATGTATCTAATTCTACATTTTAAAATCTTATCGTCACAGTTGGATGCGCTAGCAGCACCAGGTTTGTGCCACTCTTTGTCCAAGTCACCCCATTTTACAAACGCCACTCGACAGAGCTGCATCACCCTGACCGGCACTAGTCACACAGAATGGGAGCACAGGCCTGGATACGGATTTTGAGCAACAGGCCGATGCTTCTGGAAGAGGCAGTAATAAAAACCCAGAAATGAAATGTTTTTCAGGGTGAGTTTGCTTTTTCAAAATCTCATTGGTCACTTGGATTTTGGACACGGTCAGTGTAATAAAGAAGTTTCACTTTTTCAGACAGGAGACGGCTCACCACGTCCCCTTTTTAAAGCTGAGGCAGCCACACACAGGGAAATCCAAGATTACTGGAGTCTGTTTCCTGTGGCAGAAGGTTCAGAGCAAGAGGCAAGGCAAACCGATGGACTAAATGCATTTTAGGACTCAGGAGCCCATTGGTGCCGTTTATCTTTGTTTGTAGTGATTATTTCCAGTGGCACTCATAAAGCCTGTGTGAACCCCTAGTTTTTCATCACTGAAATGTCGTCACTGCTTCTTATTTTATGAGGGCAGTGCTTTCAGAATAATTGTGCTTTAAATACTAGTTCATATGGTGCTGCATGATTACAGGGAAGGTGCACACAGGCCTTGATCATCGCCATTTATAGGAGTGTGAAATGTGTAAATGTTCATTGTCAAGGTTTCAACCATTTACGCTGGAGTCTAGTATTATGAATAATAATCCAGCTGCCACTTATCACACACATCACTCAGGCTGTGGCCCAGGCAGAGTAAATGGACCATTTGTGTTGCTAACCTTTGTGATGTTGTTATATCCTGGGTTATTTAGCAGGCCTTTTATTGGGAAAGCAATCATTACACCACTGAAAGAGAAAAGGTGGACCACAATTTGATTCCAGCCAAAAGGTTGAGCATTGCATTGGTCATAAAAGAAAAAAGAGGCAGTAACATGAGGCCTGCAGGACACAGTGCGAGTCAGTCCTGTCATGGTACCAGCTTACCTGCTTTAACTGTCAGAGAAACTCCTTCAGCCCCTGTCCAGACAGACTTGGGTGCAGTAATCCCACCACGTCCTCTCAGACACCAGGTAATCCATCAGACAGACATCCCACAGAGAGGTCACATCAGCACACACACACTGTAAACCCCCACAGAGGGTCAGATGGCGTCGTTCACACAAAGATAAGAAGCTGACACATAACTACATGAAGACCAGTAGTGCCAAGTCATATTTTAATTGTCTCCATTTCCAATGTCCACATTTACCTGAGTAATCTTTAATCACACACATGCCAGAACTCAGCAGACCCGTGGATTTGACCTCGTTACAATTGTGAGTCATGGTTTCTCTTAATCCATCACTTCAAAGCATATGACTCGCCCGGATTTATGAGCATTGTTACTGTACAACACATGATTCACTGCCCTTTATGGAAACAGGAAGATAAACCGTCTCTCTCTCCTGTTAATATTGACAAGACTAAGATCTACAGCCATGCGAGCAGCACTGTGAGGTTATACACAGACAGCAGTGCTTTGAGCTAAAATGCTAACTTGCTTGACGATTAGCAGCACAATCCTGTTCATCCTGCAAACACTTCCTAATTAGCACTAAACACAGAGTACAGCTAAAGCTGATGGAAATTTCATACATTATGCACAATGCAATGGACAAATTAAAACCCCAACCTGATTGTAACACACAAAGTTATTAAAATGCATCTAAGAGATCAGGAATGTCTGTATGAAGTGACAAGCCCCTAAACAGCTGTTTAGATATTTCAATCTGGATCAAAGTGGGACACCAACCATAGAGCCTTGCTGCTAGCATAGCTAAAAGGCAAAGACCAGATGTCAGAACTACGATGATTAGCCGGTCTCAGAGGTGGACTCTGTTTACATACCGATGTGTGGATTCAGTTGTGGAGCTCACTTGGCACTTATGCAGAATTTAGCTTAAGAAAGAAGAAACAATACACCATATAAAACAAACATGACCCTCGTTTTACAGCAAACCCATAAAAGATCCACAGGCACACACCCACCAAAAATAAGCTTAGCAGTGTTTCCAAAATGTGAACATTTAAAATGTTTTTTTTTTTTTTTTTACATGTATCAATTAGCTTTATCATAAACTCTTTAGCACCTGTAACAACAAAGCGTGGGACATCTGCACATCTAGAATCCGTAAGGGGACCGGAACTGATAGTTTGAGTATGATGGAGATCGTGTCGTATCAAGGTACGATGGAGATCTTGCCGTAGCAGTGGAGGCTGCAGGAAGCAGCAGGAGCCCTGTGCTGATGTCTCTTCTACACCGATCCATCGCCTGCTTGTAAGATATCTTCTCCTTAGTGATGGGGTCTACCAGGTCTTTTGTGTGGGAAGCCTCATCCTTCAGGTCCTTAGCTGTTGTACTGTCAATTAGATTGGAGGCAAGAGCTTCGTCTACCGTGAGGCGGCCCGCTTTACTGGGATCCACCAAGCCGCCAGTCAGGTACTGTGCCTCCATGTACCACTTGGCATTTTCTTTAGGAATATACCCTTTCTGTGCTGCCTGTCCCACTGCAAGGCGCTGTTTGGTCACAGGATCCTCAACTCCCGTGAAGGCCTTCTGGGCATTCAGAAGTTTATACTTGTGACCTGAGTCGATGAGACCAATGTCAGCTGCCTTATGGACAGACAGTTTATCTTTTCTGCTAAGGTCAACAATGCCTCCAGAGGCTGCCTGGGCCTCCAGCAGCTTCACAGCTGTGTCAGCTTCAAGGAGTTTGCGGGTGAGAGCACTTCTCACAGACATGCGGCTTTCAGTGGTAGTGTCAAAAATACCAGAGATTGGAAAAGTATCGTCGCCTGCAGGAGCACTGAGGTTGGTCAGACTCCTGCTAAGCTGAGTGTTGAGGCTGGTGTAGGAGGACCTCAGAGTGGATGGCGTGGAGTTCATGGGTGAGGCTGGGACAGGTCTGGTGGGAGATCTTGGGACCTGGACTGGTAACGGAGGAATGGAGGGCATTTTGGTTTCCCCCGCGACAAGGAGGGCTAATTCAGAAATGGACATGCT